TATCGAAGGTGAGTTGCTCTATCGTAAAGTTGATGTTGTAATGAAAACACACATATATAACTTGAAAACTAATACATGTGCCCTTATATCGAGCGTGCCAAATTTTGAACCTGGAATCTTCTGATCCGTAGTCAGACGCGATATCCGTTGTGCCACACGCCCTGCTCACCTTTGATGCGTTTGCCTAACACTCGTGACACATATTGAAACAATCGAAATACATAGGAATTAAAAGTTAAGTCAATTGAATTCTAGATATTCTGAATTTTGAATTATAGTATGCGTTGACTGTTTGGCCGTAACGCTCGACGATCACAATAGCGTTCATCGATGACAGTTTTGAGACATGCAAACTTTGGAATGGCAGAAACTCCAGCCGATTCATTTGACATGCAGATGCTCACATGCTCATAGGTCCCACCGGTGTTCACCTATGGCACTTGTGAGAAAATGAAACAGATTTTGGGATTCATGTGACACATGTTTATCGCAGGTGAGTTACTCTGTCTTAAAGTTGATGTTGTGATGAAAACATACATATATAACTTGAAAACTAATACAGAGCGTGCCAGGATTCGGACCTGGAATCTTCAGATCCGTAATCAGCACGTTATCCGTTGCGCCACATGCCCTGTTAGCCTTTGATGCGATTGCCTAACACTCGTGACACGTATTGAAACAATCGAAATACATAGGAATTAAAAGTTAAGTCAATTGAATTCTAGATATTCTGAATTTTGAATTGTAGTATGCGTTGACTGTTTGGCCATAACGCTCGACAATCACAATAGCGTTCATCGATGACAGTTTTGAGACATGCAAACATTGGAATGGCAGAAACTCCAGCCGATTCATTTGACCTGCAGATGCTCACATGCTCATCGGTCCCACTGGTGTTCACCAATGACACGTGTGAGAAAATGAAACAGATATTGGGATTCTTATGACACATGTTTATCGAAGGTGAGTTGCTCTATCGTAAAGTTGATGTTGTAATGAAAACATACATATTTAACTTGAAAACTAATACATGTGCCCTAATATCGAAGGTGCCAAGATTTGAACCTGGAATCTTCTGATCCGTAGTCAGACGCGATATCCGTTGCGCCACACGCCCTGCTCACTTTGATGCGTTTGCCTAACACTCGTGACACATATTGAAACAATCGA